TGATTTGCACAAGACCCTCCTTTTTTCCCCCTCATTCAATTTATTTTCACCTCCATCTACATGATTTGGTTTCACATGGGAAAAAGGCAGAAGGACGATCAATGCGAGGAACGAGAGAACACACAGACAAAAAAGATTCACACCAGCGCGGCAATTCTGTCGGACCCAAAACCAACTACTGACTCGGAGGGGCCGACTAGACTACTAGTAGATTATGACAAGACCCATCCGGCCCATGGAACCATGGTTGACGGCGCTTAGGTGTGACAAATCCTCCACCACTGCTGCCTTTGTCGCCCTACTTCCTCGTGGCGCGAGTCACCGGGATGGGGAATTCCTCCACATCGATGGTTACGTTTGCCGCGCAAACCATTGTCATTGCTGAGGAAAATACCCGGAATACTCTCGGAGATACTGGGGAAGGATGCTGTTGATTCCCCTTCCTCTTCCATTTTGCACCACATTTTTCATCTACGATTTTCATCATCAGGTGTATAGGGGAAAAAGTCTCGCAGCGATTTTGTGTGTGTGCGTACGCGGAATGCAGATAGGCTCCAATGGGTCCTCCTACCCTACACGAGAGGGGGGGACCAACTAACGAGAAAATTCTCCTCGACCCTGATTAGCACCGCACATCACCGGCTGCATTAGCACCGCATACGCTTTTTATCACCTGATGTCCAACGAGCAAATCAGATGCAGAAAATGGGGCACAGACGCGAGTTGTCCGGTGGCAAGAGATGCTGACTGGTGCCAACGAGTCTCGCCGATGGATGGGGGGTTTCGGAGCCAGTAAGGGTAGGAACTCCGCGCGTATATCGGGGATTCTGAAAATCCAGTGCAACTGGGGCCTGCCAGGCGCTAGGTCGGGGTTGCAGTGTCCAACGACAATGCTTGAAAATTTGCATGCAGTGTAGCTGTGCCCCTCTTTTTCTCCGGCTTCGCTGGCGTAGAAAAGAAGAACACAGCGTCAAAGTGATGGGGGTGTACGGGTTCTGGAGCATTGTTCCGACCACATGAGGAATCAGTGTTGTGTGGCGTACCCCCTTCGCGTCTTCATGTGTTATCGGCTGCTCTGTTTCTGAGAGAAACGCGGGCATACGGCACCTGGATCGGCTGGGGGGGTGTAAATTAACAGGTTGTTAAACCTGGTCAGGCTTCAAGGCAGATACCGGGGGTAAAAGTTTAAAAAGTTACAAGAGAGGGGTCATTTGCAAGCCAGGTTTACCTGTTCATCCCTTCTATAGAGGGGAAAGTCCTTTAGTAGGCCAATAGTAGCTGGTACTAGACTCGCCAGTGTTGGGTCCCAGATAGCCTAGCTCAGTCGTGATCGAGCCGCGCCGATGAATAGCACTTGTTGGTCACAGTATTGTTGTACGGCGGTCCCAGAGCGACCCCTGGAGCAGCAGGCCTGCGCTGCCAGTGTACACCGCTTGAGTAATGCTCAGAACAGCGCCGCAGAGCTGTGCCATCACCCTTAGACCGGCGATGGGCGGGAGGGACCTGGGGAACCAGAATGCTGGGACAGTAAACCTAAAGCGGTGTGGGCACCGACTGCGCCGCTCAGGCCAACCAAAACTTGTACCAGGGTCATTTGTAGATCCTAGGAAAGCCAGCATTTAAGTCTGGTCACTGTTAGGCTCCATTGTGACCGTTGGAGGCCAAAAGAAGGCATTGTGGCAGCATTGGATTGTCGTTGGGGTATTGATGGCGGTCACGTTGTCGTGATCTCACGTGACCCGCACCAGCGGCGAGAACCGCCGAAGCGCGACAAAAACAAGCGCCAACTCCGACTCTCCGATTCTCGACGTCACCGACAAGAATGGTCTGGAAAAGCTAATCGGCTTGGTGTTCGCTTTGTTTCAGATTCTCTTCCAGGGTTCTAGAATCAATTTCCGAATCCTTTTTTTTTTCTCTTTCTCTCTGGCATCACCCACGGATAGAAGGCCGTTTTGCACATGTAATGTCCATAGAAGTTGACTGGGGCGCCGCGACCTCCGGTCCCGACGGAGAGGCTCTGGCCGAGCGCATCCGCTCTTTCATTCATGACAAGTTCCAGCAGGTTGCTCTGCCACGCTTTATCCGATCAGTGCAAGTTCATTCTTTCGACTTCGGGACGATTCCGCCTGAGCTCGAGATCAAAGACCTTTGCGAGCCGTTCGCCGACTTCTATGAAGAAGATGAAGATGATGAAGCGTCTGATGTATCCGAGGGGCTTGTCTCCGGGCACGGTTCGCCGTGGCATGGGACTCATCCAGAGCTTAATGAATCTTCTTTCCGCGACGACAATGCGATAAATCAATCGCTGCGTGATCCTTTCACCGAAGGCTTTCAACCCTCGGCCTTGCGGTCTCCCATAGCTCTTAGCGACCATCTCAACCCGCATTTCCGATCCGGCACTCCTGGTATACCCGGAGGTACATCGACCCTAGGCTACCATCTGATGTCTCTTGGTGGACTTTCAGGAACGCAGACACCCCTTGCTGCAGTTGCAGGCGGATCCCCGTTCGCAGGCGGATGGAATGATTCTGGGATGATGGGCCCTGGCAATAGGGGGCGTCCACCGCCTCCAATTTTTACTGCCCACCAATCGCGTCCGGAAGCCGACATTGACAGCAGTAATCCGACTTCGCGACCATCAACATCCAGCACGTTACCTTCTCATCCGTCCGGGTCCAATAAGAACAATGGTGATGGAGCAGGCGGTCCTGACCACGGATCACACCCCGAAGAGCATGGGCATTTAGATGACCCTACTTCGGAAGAGCCTCTGCGATTTCCTCGAATGAGAGAGCGCCGGCCCGAGGATTTCCAAGTACTGTGTCACGCCAAATACGCGGGTGATGTGCGGCTGTCATTAACAGCGGAAATTCTTCTGGACTATCCCATGCCCAGTTTCGTGGGACTACCCCTGAAACTAAATGTTACAGGGATCACGTTTGATGGTGTTGCAGTGGTCGCGTACATCCGCAAGCGGGTCCACTTCTGCTTCCTGTCATCCGAAGACGCGGACGCGCTGATTGGGTCTGATCAGCCGGATGTAGGTGCTCAAGCCGAGTATTCACGGTCTGGCGGGGATGCGACCGTCTCTGCAAAGCGACAAGGTGGACTGCTGCAAGAAATCCGAGTTGAAAGTGAGATTGGCCGGAAAGAAGATGGCAAGCAAGTCCTCAAGAACGTCGGCAAGGTGGAACGGTTTGTGCTCGCACAGGTGCGGCGGATATTCGAGGAGGAGCTCGTCTATCCTAGTTTCTGGACATTCCTGGTCTAGTTGCGCTGTAGATATGGGCCGCGGAAGAACATTGTCAACTCGCATTGGTCTAAGCCCGTGAGGATTTAGGGTTTGATCGACTATTTGAGTCCTACCGTGTGCTCCAGACCGCCTCGAGCCCACCGATTTGTCAGAAACAGGCACTAAGACTGCAGTGTTTTATATCCAAATTAGCGCATGCATCTCTCCTCCCTAGCGATTGAAGAATCATGCCTAAACTTCCTTCAGGGGCAATGTAGCCACAAACCTCATCGCTTGCGGGAAAAGCGTTCCTGGCACAAATCCTTCCTGTCAGACCCCACGCGCATCTCTGTCATACCTGCCAATCATCTTAGCAACAGACTGCGCTATCGCCACCCCCTTGTTTTCTTGTGACGTATCCCAGTCAATGTAAGTAATTCTCACTACTACCTTATACCTGGTAGTGGCAGCCAAGCGAAATCCAGGTTCCACTCAAGGAGACCTGATGACCACCACCCCCATGAAAAGTACAACAAAACCATAGCTAGCCAATCCCTCATGAAGCAAATGAAACAGACAGCCGACATTGGCTACAGACCCAATACTCCAATCCCTAGTCTAAGACATATAGTTACCTGGTCATGCCAAGTTAGCTGACATGAACCCCAACCGAACTCTGCAGACCAAACCAAACCTCATGATCCTGTGACAGGCCCACTCACCTCGGAACGGCCCCAGGCGGGAAGAGTAGGGCGGGAACCAGTGGATTTTCTTCACGCCCTCGCTTGCTCACTCCATGCATTTATTGTCTTTCTCTTCATCTCTTGTCAGCGCATCCGTTAGTGAGGTGGGGGGAGGGGCGTCTGTTAGCTGGTATCTGCTTGACTTGTCTCTAAGGTTTAGAGCAGGTTAGCTGACGGAATTTGAGGGGAAAGTTGAGGGATTAATGGCTTAGCTTGTAGTTATTGTACGATGTAAATAGAGCACTTATCATTCATCGTAAGGTGGACTCATCCGATTGTCATGATTATTTCATTGTGAGGGGCGTGGGTTGGGGAGGTTGTTGCAAACGATTTCGCGGCACAGTAAAAGCTGTTGTTGCTTTTTTCAATGATAGAATAAAGGAAATTTAAGTTTCTTGAAGCAAGTAGATGAAGATTCTGGCTCTGAAACATTGTGCTTGAGGGTTAATTGGAGTGTTTGAGTTCTGTGCTTGGTTGTTGCCTCAAGGAAGCTGCGGTGTTGGTCATAGAAGAATGATGGAGCTGCGCGCAGGTGCTTCGACGTGATGCCCGCCCTGTTGGTACCTCTTTCTACATTGGGCTCTGACCTGAGAGCTGATTACTACTGTATTTTTTGCATGTTGTGTATGGTATATGGTCGTATCCATGGTGTACTGCTCTTCTATTTACCGAATGCCTACATTTTGACATAGACGGTGGAATTTTTGCTCCATTGTGAGTTGTAACCCAGATAACCCAGATAATCTCAAGTTTTGCAATGACAACTTCTTCCACGAGAATTGCACCAGTATGATTCACTCCACCAATGCGCTCAAATAACAGCTGGTTCATCCGACCACCAGGTGGTCGTTGTCAACATTCCGTCTCATCCAAACCCGAAAGATATGGTAACCGAAATGCACATGAAAGGGTAGCTTGCAGACAGCGGGATGTTCTATCAATCAGCCATAAAAGCGATCAATTCACAATCCCGACTGGCCTAGCAGGCTGGCGATTGTATTCCCCGCGGCACACCCAAGCGTCGTCTACTGGTCCTTCTTGGGAGCCTCACCCTTCTCACCAGACACCTCGTCACCAAGCTTGTGGTACTCGCGGGTGAGACCCTCACACTGCTTCTTCAGGGTCTCAATGTCACGGTCCTTGGCTGCGAGCTCCTCCTTGAGACGGCCGATTTCGCCGATCTCACCGGCCTGCGCAAGACGAGCGGAGTCCTTACCGCCAGCCTTCTTGTCACCCTCGAGGAGTCTGACTCTGTCCTCAAGACGGAGGACATCGAGGATCATGGTGTAAGTGCGGTTCAGGATAAGAGACAGGAAGAGGGTGAATCCACAGAGGTACATGTTGCGCTGCGAGTAGAACTTGCGAGCCTGGACTTCCATACGATCGGTACCGAGAGCGGCGGCTCTGTGGCGAAAGCTAGGTCAGTAATTGTTTCAGTGCAATGCTAAAAAGGGTGTGGACCGTCGGAAGCATACCCCATGGTGCCCCCCTCTTTGCCGAAAGAAGCCAGCTCCAGCTGCACACGATATACGCGGTTGACGCTATCGATGAAGAGGATAAGGATAAAGATGAATGTGATCTATAGCTCAATAAGTATTTGCAAAAGCAGGACAATGACGAGTTACATACCTTTAATCCATATTGTAATTTAGCTACTATCGGACTTTCCGAAATGAAAGCGAAGAGCTTCCTCTTCACGGTGAATGGAAGAGGGATGATGAGGCCCATGAAGACCGCCATCTCAAACACCAAGAGGCAAAAAACCTATAACCATGTTGTAAGCATATGTTGGTTCGACACATTATCTGATGGCCCGGGAGTGCGCGGGTCAGGGGCTGCAGGCTGCAGGCTGCAACAATCCCGAGTTCCATGCCATTGCGACGAGGGTTAACAACAAATGGCAATACATACAAGGCTGTAGTAGAGAGTCATTTTGTCTAAGATTGCAATCCAGGTAATCTTCCGACAGATGCTTCAATATGCAAGTTTGGCTGGAAATCCAGCTGCGGTTGTGGGGTTTGTTTTGCGAAGATAAACAAAAGTACACGGTAACACGCAAGAAGAGTTGAGGAACCCAAGAGGTCGAGCAGGCGTAGAGCGAACAATGTTTGTCGAATAAGTTCTCCTAGCTAGTATACTGGCATGAACAGTGCCAGAACAGAGCAGGAAGGTTAGGCAGCTCAGGAGATGAGGTGGTCTTTTTGCAGTTTCTGGTGAGAGGAAGACGTCATTACCGCCCGGAGCTGTGATCGTGCACGTGACTCTGTCGGCCGCGGCTCAGCCTGCCGTCTACGTCATAGCAACAGGGTTTATCTAAAGTATGTATCTAGTTCTCATTGACTGCATATGATTGCTGGCTGTGGTATGTACATCATCTATATGCGTTAATCCTAATCTAGAAAGCATGTGCTTAACCCTCCGCTTCGTCATACGAGTTGGACTTGTGTTTGGGCTCGAACTTGAAGTCCTTATGAGCCGGTCCGAGGAACATCTCCCTAGAAGGCTGTTAGAATAAGTCCGAAGATTGAATCTGTTAGAGGAAGGTACTTACGAGATCTTGAGCCAATCCTTGTAGTTGGCACTGGCCAGCAGTGTCTCAAGCTCATTCCGGCCTCTGAAAGCCGGAGGCCGGTCGTTGATGTAGGGGGGAAGATGCTCGAGCAACCCGATGGGTACATAGCGACGAGTGAAGCTCAGCCATTCCATCAAAAAGCGTCTAGTCGTACCGACACCATGCTCATCGGATCCCCATGCCTCCAGACCATACTTACAGAACTTCTCAATCATTGCCAAACGTTCCGTAGCGGACTTGTCAAGGTACTGGCCCGCCTGAATTTCCTCGAAGAGCCAAGGCTTGATCAGAGGACCACGACCAAGCATAACAGCATCAACACCAGCATTGTTGATGTGGGTATCATAGTCAACATGAGAGTAGCAGTCGCCGTTGCCCAGGAAGTAAACCTTGCCACCGTTTGGCTGGGTCCGGGCATCAGGCTCCCGGATGGTATCCGTCACCGCGTCAGTCTTCTCGTTCAAGCGCTTGATCAAAGCGGCACATTCGGAGATGTATTCCCAATCAGCTTGTCTGGTGTAACGCTGCTGTCTGCTACGACCGTGAAGAGTGATAGCTGCTGCACCTGCGGCGCCGTCGTGATGAAGCAGACTGGTTTCATAGCCTCCAAGCAACAAACGCTCCGTCAATTTCAAGGCATTCGGATTGTTGTCCTTCGTTCCCATACGGATCTTGACCGTGATAGGAATCTGATCCGAGACAGTGTTCATGCCACGAATCATCTTCTCGAGCTTCGACGGGTGCTCCAAAAGAGCAGAGCCAGCACCATCCTTGAAGACGAGATCAATAGGGCAGCCACAGTTCAGATCGATGACACGCAGATTGGGAGTGACTTTAGCCAGTGCCTCTGTAGCCTTGAAGGCTTGCCAAGGCTTGTTTGCTGCAATTTGAGCACCAAACTTCATGTCCTTGGAGTTATCATAACCCTGTACGATGTCTGCCCCGGGCAGCATCGTGGGAGGGAGCATCTCCGACTCGTGGGCTCGCATCAAGGCCCACTCCGACTTGTTACCCTGAATCAAAGGCAAGCTCATGGCCATCTCAGAATAGGTGAATTGTGCGCCAAGCTCGACGCAAAGTCTTCGGAAAGGCATGTTGCCTTGGGTAGTCAAAGGCGCCAGTGCCGGTGTCTCGGGTCCGAAGTACAGTCGGCGCTTCTCCGATGGCATGAATGGCGGCTCAACGTACAGAGCCCGGTTTTCCTCCTTTTCGTCCTTGTTCTCGGCATCCTTAGTTTCGGTATCCTTGGTCTCTGCATCCTTCTCTCCATCCTTGGTCTCAGCTCCTACAGGCGCAGCACGATGGCGCTTGTGGAGCTCCCTCTCAATGGTTCTAGATGTGTTTTCCAACCAATTACTGTACGGTCCAGCTCTCGGGAAATCCATCTTTCTCCTTGCCAAAGCGATCTTATCCTCCATCGAAGCAACATTGACAGCCCCGTCCTCTCCAGCAAAGGGAACAAGCCGCTGAACCTTCTTCTTGCGCTCCTCATCCTCAATAAGAACCAACTCTTTCCTCCCATCGGCCGTCTCGCGCTCCTCCGAGTGTGAACCAACAAAGCGACATTTCCAGCCCACGAAACACTTTCCGTTGATATCCCAGACAGGACATACGCCATTGAATGTCGTAAGATCTTCCCGCTTGTGCTCCTTCAAGTATTTCCGCAGGTCATGCTCGTACCGACACTTTTCACCAAAAGTGCACTCGGCAGGAGAGAATTCAGGCCTGAAGTTCACACTAGAACACAATCCCTTCGCATCCTCGGATCGACCGAACGTGCGGTTCGTATTCTGACCAGTCTTCTTCTTCTTGTTCTTCTTCCCGTTCTGCTCATCGGCGCGTCCATCGTGGTGCGCAGCTTCCGCGGCATCGTCTGCATTGTCATCGGGATTTCTCTGGCCTCTCGTGGGTTGTTGGTCGAGAATGAACCTAGCAGGGAAAGTCAGTTAGGATGGACCGCGCGCATCGCATACAGTTTTGGTCACCACATACTCAGGCTTGATAGGAGCAACGCCCTTCATGCGCGGGGCGGGCGCATCAGCCGTTTGCCCATTAGAATCCGCCGAATCATCGAGTCTGGCCTTCTTCGAGGGTGGCTCCTGGGCCTGGTCTGCAACGGCATCGCCATTCTCCGGTTCACGCTTGGGCGCATTAACCTCCGGAGCGGGCAGCTGTTCCTGAGCGGTTGTTGGCTCCATTGCGAACAGTCGCTTTCCTCGAAAAAAGATAAAAAAAAAACGACCTTATTTAATCACCAAAAGAGCTGAACTGCGCAATGCGACAATTGGGCTAGAATCAGCGCGTCGTATAATCCAGACCCTTTCCGAATTCGAAAAGATGCCGGTCGGTCCTCGAGAATCTCCGCAATCAATCAATCTAATGCGGGCAAAAATTTCGAGGGGTGCAGTTTGTACAGTTTGCACTGACAGTGGCGTTGGCGGCAGTTCCAGCGTGGCGGGACGGAGGGCGGTCAGGGCGTTGCTTAGTAGGAGGTACTACTAGTAGTGGCGGTGCGGACCTGCTGTGTTCTGAACTTCTGACAGCCAATCCCTGAGGTGCTGTTACGATGGGCGGTATACGCGGTAAAACGGAAGCGATCCTTTGCCGTCGCCTTACCGGGCAACCTCCTTCCACCCCCATCCATTACAAACGTCGAACAGACTAGCGTAATCTTACTTTACATACTGAACGAGAGCCCCACCGAAGTTGAACCTAGTCTTGCAAATGCTCACATTTTCTGGGTTTCTAGAAGAACTTAAACGACCTGGTTGATCGAGGGGGGGTAGATCAATGCTGAGAAGTCAGCCACCTGTCTGTCGTTAATTAACTTGCTAACTTAGTAGTTAGCAAACGCCGTTTGGTCTCGCGTCGAGCACACCCACAATCGCGGTTCCAATCAAGGCATAGTCTCCGTTCTATGCTGTCGCTCCGCCCATCGCTGAGATCGATCGTTACTCGTCGAATGTTACGACGACTGTGGGATACGCAATCCACCACAGTGGCAAGGATCATACATACATACATACTGATGAGGACAAAAAACACCATGCTACAAAGTATCGAAGACAGAATACTACATCGGAGATATATCCGACTGGCGACCATCATACACCCGCCCTCAGTCATCACGTTCACTAGTACTACATATAGTATTTATCGCTGCACCCCCTCCCCTTCTTAAACTTCAGTAACTACCCAGAAAGTCAATTCCATCTTGGCAAGAAGGTCACAGGACTACGAATACGCCTCTAGCATTGGGTGATTTCGAAACGATGGCGAAGATCTCCTGCGCCTCTCACTTTTAGTCACTCTGCTTAGCGCCTTGTACCTGCTGATCTGATATGTCCTGATGAGGATTAACTACCCTCCCCCCATGCATCATGTTACATATACATTGACTTTCGTATGTCGTGTAAGCCTAACTTTACGGAATGGAGGGAAGGAAACGTCGGAAGGCACCTGCTTTTTACTCAAGTACGTAGTAAGTAGTTTAGTGCATAGTTACTGTATGTGTTTGGCTGTTTATGGCCTTGAGCAATTTCTGAGTGCTATTTACGTATGCTGTATACTGGCTTCGCTCCGCCCCCTTTTCGTATGTGGATGGGTGGATATTATGCGTATGGGTTGCCACAGTATAATCTGCATGAGGCAGGTACAGGTTGAAGGGGTTGTGGTTCGTTAATTGTTGTAAGGTGGATAGATCATGGTATCCACATCAAGGGACAAAAAGCACATGTGGCATTCCAGGAACCGTGGACTTGGAAATGCAAGGGTGGCAAATTGGTTCTATTTATTGCTGAACAATACGTACTTTCTTATGTATATTGGTCTTTCTGGGATTGTATGACTCTTGTAAGCTTACGCAACTGTACGACATCGATGCGTAGATTATTTGAAGATATTGATTCAGCTCCGGGGTTGTTTGGTAGGCATCATGTGCTGTGAGTAGTACCATGTATGTAAGGGAGTACTACTAATTCATGTACATTGTCTACCATGTATGGGATCCGTCACTTGTGTTCCCCGGTCATCCCAGAATGCAGGTGCCTGATTAGAGTAGCGGCTGTAAGGCGACTACTGCGTGCTGTAGGAATGCTCAGTAATCAGAGTGCGGCTGGCAGCAATACTCCGAAAAGCGGTATATACTTTATAGCGTACACGCGCAGTCGTCGGGAAAATACCTGGTGGATACAAGCGCCTCACTTGACTCGAATTAGGTTCGGTAAAACGCAGCCGAGGTATTCGAGGGTTGAGACATGGATGAAACAAACGGATGGCGCTTGACAGGGGTAGGGGACCAGTAGAGCCGGGGCATCGGTTTAGCTTGCCCAGATGAGTATGAGATTGCAGAACATACAAC